TTGGGGGACTAGGAGCTGTAAAAGTAGAGTATTCATACGGTGATGCTAATTTGTTAATGCAGCTGTGAAATCAGTTTCTGACAAATTCAGAATGGTGTGTGCTTATTGATGTTATGAAACAACCCTCCATTTTTGTCCATTTCTACACTTGCAACTTAAACTGAAGACTCCTCAGGGATCAGGAGGCAGTTCAGCAACTACCAGAATCAGGAGAAACCTGTGGTACCTGTAGTTTCTTAAGCAGTTGTTCTTGTTAGCTATTTTCAGCTGGAGCAGTTGACCTTGTCAGTTCATCCACAAACTAACACAGGGAGTGCCACCAAGGCACAGGATCGTTCATGCTGCCAAACGAAGAAAAAAGCGTACACACTCCCACAACACAAAAAATTTGTAAAGTATGCCATTTTTTTCTGAGACTTGGTAGTGAGAAGGGAGAACCAGAAAAATATAGCAGAAAAATCTAAGAGGCATTGGAAGACATGAAGGTGGAAGCAAAAACTGGAAGAAAGGAAGCAGTGAGAGAACAGGTTTTGTGATGATAAGAAAAAGTATTAAAGGAGAAAGGGTTAAAAATAATCAGCATACTAAGATGACAGCAAATAGAAGGGACAGCCAAAAACTTTATTAACACAGAGGAAGTCAGAGGGCCATTAAGAGTAGTCCCCTGAGGATGATGCCATGGTTAAAATAACTCATGACAAGATACTGTAGAGCCCACTTCAGCTTCTTGACTTGTCTGTTTGGATAGACTCAGGTTAATAGTGTCTTGCCAGCCTGACAGAGGACCTTGCCTTCTGTGTTTAGACAAGAAGGGGCATAGCATATTGGGTTTTCTGTATTAAACTGATATTGGTGTGATTGACTGAGTAGGCTAGAGATTTGCTTTCTGCTTAGAAGACACTACCCCTCTGAGTGCAGAATGTGTGTGTGTAAGTCCTTATATGCTCCAAAGACACCAAATGTAGAAACATTTGGAAGCAAGGTCACTAGGTAGAGACCCAGGATCTCTAAAACTTAGGAAAGAGATGTAGCCTACTTCTGGCTTGACTAGAATATGTTGTTTTTAAAAAGTGCTATCAGATTTTTTAATCAAACTTTTGAATATTTGTATGGGATGTTAACCTTGTCTCAGAGGCCTGATGCTGCCAAGTTCACAGTACAAATCTGGACAGTGACTTGTAAGCATCATTTTTTGATGTCTAGATGTATGTTGGTATTTCTACCTATCTTAATTTACTCTTCCATTTTATCAAAACACAATGATAGTTTTTCCTACTTCTGTGTTTCAAATACAATATACCTTAACTTCATACTTTCCTTCACCGTCACGTCCCCTCCCCCCACTCCCCAAACTTCAGTCAGTAAGACATCTATTTTAATGCAGATACTTTTACTTATTAACCCAACTTTTGCAACTTCTTTGGCGAAGATTTTTCTCCTTGATGAAGCTACATGAAATAATGATTACCAGTCAAAAGTGTGTCACATCCCTCACCTAGTGAGGGAACTCTGAGAAAATATTTGCATATAAAATGAGCTTAAGAATAGCAAAAAAGAATAAGTAAACTTGGAATTGATTGACCCTAAGTATTGATGCTACAAGGCTACTTCAGAAACGTCCATGAAAGCATATGGTAAAAACACCCGTTTTGTAGCACTTCTAATATTTGTTACAATATAGTTTAATTGTTTTCCCGTAGCTTTGGTTTCCTGGTGCACAACATGCTGTTTTATTTTTTTTAAATGATTCAATTTGCTTCCTTTTTTTTTGTGGCATTTCATCATAATTGGATGGTATACCATAATGATGATTTCTGCAGACCAATTTCTGAATGTTTCTGCTGATAATTCTAAAATTGTATTTTAAAATGCAGCAGGGTGATCACAGGCAGTTTAGTATTTTAACAAATGAGTTTGGATGACTTGCAAACTAATACCATGTGTTTGTTTTCTCTTAGAGACAATTTGGAGAGCAAATATGAAGATTGATACAATAACATGCTTTTCTCTTTGCATATATGCAGATTATCACGCTACTCTTGTGCAATTGTTACTACCTGGAAGCAATTTCAGTAACTTTATATGTTAAGACAATTTTTAAGGCGCATTTAATAATTTTTTAATAATGTAAATATGACATTGTCTGTGTCTTTGCGTTTTTCTGTCAAATTAAGTGAGAGACTAATGGGGGTGGGCGAGAAGAAATGTTTCTTCAGAAATCTTCCGAACTATTTTTCCCGCGCACGCTTTCTCCTTTAGAAATAAGGATTGCTCATTTTTTACGTTCTGGTTAGATAGCTCACTTAAATTTCTAAAGCAACTTTTTCTGTACTTCATCCCACAGAGAGAATAGCCCTGCCACGTTTCCTGATACTCACAGCACATTTCAGACAGCTCTGTTTCACCCAACACCCATCCATCCAAAGTCCCAACCTGGTCCTGAAGTTCGACTTTATGATCCTAACACTGGAAAGCTAATCAGGAAAGGCGCTCAGACCTCTGGCCAGTCGATGTACATCCAGTCTCCAGCTCCTCCCATCACCTTACCAGTCCACGGTGAACACTCATCCTTCAGGTACCTAAAGCATAGCTAAGAGTCACTTCAACTATATTTTCAGATGCTGTAGTAAATTCAATTCTTATTGTCTTTGCATTTGATCAAATTGTCATCTTTGCTTTAGTTACTTTGTTTGCTTTCTAAAAAGCCAAGGAAATAAGTGAAAGTGAATAGTCAGCTGAAGTGAAATCATGATGCTAGAATTCCAGATGCCTTTTGTGCCTCACCTAAGTGCGACTAGAAGCCTCAAAACAAATAAATGCAGCGTGTAGTTTGTGTGCTCTAAAGGATGTTAGAATAACTCGTCTCTGAAGCAAGGCAGCCTAATGTTTTTTAACGAGTCTTAGAATACTGGATTGGTTTTATGTCTATAAAATATATGATAGCATTTGGCTCTTGTTTGTAAAATTTTCCTCTTCACCCAATTCCTTCAGATAGACATTAGCTTTGTGTTTTGTTTTAAGGAATATCAGAAGTGGTGGAAGAGGAGTGTAGCTAACTGAGTATTATTAAATAAGGCTATATGACTGCATGCTAATTAATAATCCTTAGGTCACTAAATCAAGACACTAAAACAGCAGGAGGAGGAAGCAGCCTGCTTTTTGAAGTACAAATGCTAGCATCTGGACTTTGTCAAAGTTTGTGGATTTGGTTAAGCTACAGTGACAACACTTGTCTCTTCAGGAGGCGTAAAATATCTAAAATTCATCTCTAAGTATCTACGTAAAAGATCTCACTAACTGGAATGCTAACAAGTTTAGCAAGGCTTGTTGACTCCAGTGGTAAAGTAGTATCTTGTTGAAGGCAAAGCTTTTCTTTTTGTAAAATGAGATCAAAATTCCTTTGCACAATGTCAATCAGAGTACAGCAATTGTTATAAAGCAATTCGGTTTTCCAAACAACTACAAAAATACAAGGCATAATTATAAATGCACAGTTTTCTACCTTTCTTCTCCCTCCCCTGCCCCTTTTGCAGTGTATCACTTGTAAAGATTTTGTATATTAGTGTAGCTTGTTATGTTTCCATTCTATCTTCCTGGTGCTAAATTATTTCAACCTATGTTTTCTTCAGTTGTCATCTTTTTATAGGCTTTTTCTTATTTCAGCTTCCGTGTTTCTGTCAACACAGATTTTTTTTGTTGAGTCTCTCTTGTTTGTGAAGACATTTTGTTTTCAGTTCCTTTTTAACTATGTCTTTAAAGTCTTTATTTTACTTTACCATGACATGTTAAATGAACAGGAAAAACTTTAAATAATCAAGACACAGCATGTATCCAGAGAGGAGCTGAAAAGTTTTTTGTTTTGTTTCTTGATTATTGTGTAAAGGACTTTGTCTAGGAATAGAGCTGGGAAGGTTGTACATGTATATAGCTGTCATGACATTTCTAAGATGCTTCAATATGATGGTTTATGTTGATATTAATGCATCATTCAATGCTTTAAAAGGAATAGGTTTTTATGTTTGTTCTGCCTTTGTCAACAACTTAATTGAAGACTTAATGTCCACACCTAAGCCTATTTTTCTTTAATGTAAAGGTGCTTCTTCACTTGAACATCTTATGGAGCAGTAAAGAAATATACTTCAGCTGTCCTTAATTGAGTTTCTCAGAGCCCCAGACAGGTTTTGGGGGTGGAGCGAGACTGTATCTCTTTCCTCCCTTATTTCACTTAAGCATTGTTTTGACTGTCAATGCTCAGGGTTGAGATGCTTTAATCTAAGAAAGTGACTCCAATTACTCAGGTAGCTTCACCCCATAACTAAGCAGCTGTAAGAAAAGAGATAAGTATAAGGTATATGCTGGGAAATAGTATTTTCATCATAATTTCCTGTTGATTTGGTTCTAGTGGTAAAATTAGTGACCTGTAAACACTGATCTCTTAATTGGGATGTGTCTATATCCCTCAGAGCAGTTCTGCTCTCTTCAATTAATATGGGGAGTGTCTTGGTAAAGTCTAGGAAGAAGGCAGTGCAGTGATCAAATACCGTTATAAGTACTTTTAATGGGTAGGAAGTGCAGTGCAAGCAGAGCACGAAGGCTGTAAAGAAGTAACAAAAAGCTGAATAGGAACAGCTTTGCTGTGTTTTGACTGAGCAAGAGTTGAGGAAGAAGTACTGTATCGTCACCTTGCTTTGTCTTACCGCATGCATCAATGATATCTTTTTAAAAAAAGCTTCACATCCAATTTAAAAATTTGTGATTTGACTTTAGAGAAACTGACCTTAGTGGAGCAATTTCTTAGGAGAGTGCAATGTATTTTTGTGTCTTGACAGACTTCATGTACTTCTATGGTCACCTCCTACAGAAAGATGAGTATTTGTAACTAAGCCATTTAATTTAAGCAGAGTTAGATAAAGCTATGAACACTCACAACTGCTCCTGTTGTGGGTGAGCGTAGTCACAGGCTCCAATAATCTTTGATAGTTACTAAAAACTTCATCTCAGTCTGAATTTCAGACAGCAACAAAATTGCACTGCTGTGAGAGGAAACCCCTGGGGACATGGTATCTACAGGTGGCGTACAATGGTACTCAGTCTTTTACTGAAAGAATAGTCCTTCTTGTGCTTAGAAGATAACCTCTTGCAAGGCTGGTTACTGAAAAGGGCTTCAAGGTATCCGAGTACGATTTCATAAGAACTGTGTCAGTTCTCACTTTTTTTTATTTTGGGTTCAACATTTTTAATTTCTTTTTGGGATTCAACTTAAAACATTATTTAAATTAGGATATGATTAGTTTAAATATCTACGCTCAATTTGCAATGAAACTGTCACTAGTGGATTACAGATGGTTCAGTTATTTTGGCCAACGTTCTGGACGACAGGGCGTAGTTCTTGCCATCATGCTCAGCTCTGAGAGACTTGAACACCTGCTTTTTGTCGTGGCTGTTGCAGCCTGAGAGGAAGGGTGGCAAAGAGTGTGCAGCTGTACTAGAAGAGAAGGGAATGCAATGCAGTGCTGCTCGGTGGCTGCTGACAGCTGGCAGGAGCTCTTCTCTGAGAACAGGAAGGATTCCGCTTTAAAAATAACCTGCGTGTCAGAGCTTTGCCACTCCGTATGTATCTCAACAATTTGCATTTTCATATGGAAATAGTATTCTACAAACATTACAGTAAACACTAAAGTTGTAACAGGTCGTGAGATGTGTAATGTAGCGTTGTCCAAAAAAATGCTAATGGCATTTTGGACTAGAATGAAGTAAAAATAATATTACAAGTTAAATTTTAGTGAGTGCTAATAATACACTAACAGATGAAGCAAGGCTTAAAATATGGATATAATATACATGTGAGAAGGTAAAAGTGGCACTCTGGTTTTAAATAATGCCGAGGTACACCAAATGTTTGGTTTGAAAAGGTGTGTTGAGCAAATGTTGGTGGCTGAAGCAATTCTTTAATATTCATATAAATTAATTTCACTTAAATTGTAACAGCAAGCATGTAAGTTTTCATATCTAATGTTATCAGTCTTGTTATGACAACAAAAGATGAGGTACCAAATTGAAATCATGAACAGAATTTAAATATTTTTAACATTTTCATGATGATAATGCTATTTTAGCTTTTGCCTTGATGCTGTACCAATGAAAGTGTTAAGATACTTGTTACTTCCACAAACGTTGAACTCTCCGTGTAGGCAGTGAGTTCTAGTGCACGTGCATGTCCTTGTGCGTGTAAGACTGGCAAGCACCAACCAACCTGTGCAGGGTTGACTATGGTATTATTTTTGAAAAAGTAGTCATGAATCTCATCTGATTATAAGTAAATGTAAATACCTGCATTTGTATGTCTTCAAATTTTAATCAACGTAACAAGCAACTGAAAATGTAAAGCCTGAAAAATGTCTTTGATAAAATAAAAATGTTTCTTACAAACTTTAAAGAAGTCTTTGTTTTATATTGCCCTTTGGAATGCTTTAGAAGTCCCAGTGTTTCTTACCTAGTAGCAGTTGGAAAATACTGGGAAAAAAAAAAATCTGACAGAAGCCTTTAGAAGCTATTGATACAGTTATTTTACAGATAATATTTGTGTATAATAATGTGATCAAGGATGGTCTGACATTTTATTCTTGGGGGGGTATTTTTTTTTAACAATGGTGGAGTCTTTAAGATTAACCTGACGTTTGTAATATCTCTGCATATTGCTGCTTCAGAATAAAGAAGTTCATAACTATGCCTCATCATGGATGCAGTATCTCCAGAATTAAACTGTCAATACAGTTTTTATTAAATAATGATGCAAAATAATTCCTGCCTTTGCCACTTGTTAAGGTGGGGGTGATGTCCTCTGAACTGTTCAAATAAAGAATATAAATAAGAATACAATGATATAGAAACTGCAAAAGGAGGAGTTCTTGCTATCATCAGTATGATAATGTGTTCTTAAAAATATATACAAGATTTATTTCTAGTCTAAGCAAATCTGCTTGGCTGCTTGCTACATTTAACTTGTGTATAATTCTTGGCATGGTCAAGCTTGTCGTGTTTTTAATACGGTTGTGTAAGATGCTCATGCATTTTGTTTTGTCATTCTCTGTTTTACTAAGAATGTAAATGACATCACCACCTTTCTCTTGGCTTGGGTACCTATTAAAAAGGCATGGAAATCCTGTTTTAAAAGATCCTTTTGAAAAATATAGTGGGATGCTGTATTTTTTTCCTTTTTTACCTATGAAAATTATTATCTGAGAGCAGTTTAATAGCAAAAGAAAACCATGTGGTCTTGAAAAATAGAAAACATTTGGGGGGGGGATGGGGGGGTGGAGCTGTTAAACTGTAATGAAAATCTCTACCAGAAAACAGTTTGGTTAATTCGTTTCTACAACATCTAAATCATTGGTTTGGCTTCATAGGAAATTCCAGTGTACAGAATTTCCAAACTGTAAAGGGGAACACTTCTGCTCTGTGGTTGAGTAGTGCAGAGCTGGTGGGAATCTTCTGCAGAAGATTGCTGTGCTATGTGCGCTGTGGTGTGGCTCTCTTCCCCACCACCCCTAATTCAAAAATGAATTTGCATCCCTTGCACCTATCCATGGGATCTGAGAGGAGGGAGATGTATATTTAAAACAAATGTAAGCCCTCAAAATGAGCTCGATTCACAGCTTCGTGTGGCTTCCAGATTTCATACATTCTGGGATTGAAGTACTCATGTAGAAAAAAATATTTAGATGGCCTTCTTAAGAAGCTGTCAAGTTCACAAGAAGAGAAATTATTTTGTAGAACCTTACATGTGACTGGATTTACATAATTTAATGGCTTTTTTGGGTGGGGCTGCTGATCTAAATCTGTTTCTTGAAAATCCAGGCTCAATGAGAAGCAGCCATCCTGCTCTGAAACTCTTGTCAGCAGAGACCACACTGTACCCTTTCTTAATCACCACCACCCTCTGAAACAGCTTGGTGGTGTCTCACCTGGTAGTTACAACTTGAAACAGCTTGTAATTTCAAATACAGTCACTTTTATACTTGCTTGTGGTAATTATTCCACACACGCACAATCTTGTAGCTAACACAAATAATTTGTGATCCATGAGCTTTATGACCTGAGATCTTTGAATAGGATTCTGGGTGGTGTTGGGCTACTCTAATGTGTTCCAGGAGGTTGTGTGACAGCCCAATATTCATAGTTAAACTGGTATTGTGTAGCAGTTGTAGCTTCTCTGAGACTTTAATAATTAAGTAATATTCACAGAGAAGTTACCCAAGAAAGCTAGAAGTCTCCTGCTGTTGTTCTAGACGTGGTCTATCTTTTTATTACTGTTATAAAGCAATTCCCATGAAGTTATAATTATTTTATCCATTTTTATGAACATTTTGACATTCCTTTTTGTATCTGTGTGTTCTGGTTAAATACAGTAACGAGGTCATAAAATACAAACTAAGAGAAAATGCTACCATATTTGAACACACTAGCCAAAAAAAGAAATATGGTCTGTTTTGCATCTCATCCAGGCTTAGCATCTGGGACATTTGTGAGGACTGAGGCTGCAGAAATGAGCTTTCTACTTGCAAACCCTCTTGTCTGTAAGGTTGAGAGATATAGAAGTATACTTTGAGACTCAAGAACACAAGCATAACATAGATCATGAAAATACATTAGAATATAAGAATTGTTTCCTGAATGGTAAATGTGTCAAGTGACAGGCAAACTCTGACTGAGTAAAAACTTCAAAGCATTTTAAGGGCAATGCATCTGCAGCTACTGTGTCTCTTAGCCTCAAGAAAGGTTTGGTTACTTACAAGAACAATGGGAAGGCAGAGTGAGTAACTTGTCAAAGGTAGAATAAGAACTTAATTCAACTGAAAATAAAAGCCATCATTGGGAGACTTGATCTTTCTTCTGTTGATGAACACAGAATCCTACTAAGCAAAGACATAGATATTCAGCAGTCTCAAATTGTTTATAGGATTTTATTTCTAAACAAGCTGTAAATCAAGTAAATATTTCTTATGTGGGACCCCTGAAATTTTTCAGAGTTGTTCAACCACATCAGCAGCAGATGTTTGAAGAAGACCTACCAGTGAGTGAAAATGATGAGCAGCCTGGTCCATCCAAGCGGAAACGCCAGCCGAGTATGTCTGAGACAATGCCCCTGTACACCCTATGTAAAGAGGATTTAGAGAGTATGGATAAAGAGGTGAGCTTAACTAATTCTGACAGGTTTCTAACATAATGATTGTTAGTTATGCATTACAGTTTAACTTCTGTTAAATTATGCATGTATGTGAACTGAATGTGAGAACTTCAATTAGGTATAGACTTGTCACGCAAAACATGTTATCGCATTTGCTGTGTGTTTAGCTGTCACTTAAAACTTTTTTATTTTTAAAGTAAATCTTCAAATGATCTGGACAAAATCGGTGGCGAAATGGGAGAAGAGAGGTCTGTGGATGTAAAAGGCACAGGCTGTAGAGAAGATCAAAGAGCCAAAGGGGAGCATGGGGCCTCATTATCTGTGGACATACAATTGCAGTGCTTCCGCATCATGGCTCTGCAGGTGAAGGGAGCTTTCTGTCACAGAGTGAACTGTACTTTTTCATACAAAACCACATTATTTGAAATTCATTGTGGACCTCTAGCAGCTGCCTATTTTTGACTTATCTTTGTGTGTGCTTTTTTCAAATGAGCCACCATCTTACGTATTATTAAATGATACATATAGGAAAAAAAGCCTATCATTGTACACCATGTTTTCATGAAATCATTGCACTCTGTTTGACTTTACTGTAAAACCTAGTTGCCCTGGAAGTTAAATCCATCTTTGAGCTCAGATCATTCACTGGGGTGGGGACAGGAAAGTATAAACTTGCCAGCTTCTGGCAGTAAGTTAATTACAAGGCTATAGCCATAACAGGCCTTGAGAGTTATCTTCAGAAAATATAATAAAACTGAGAAAGAAACTGCGTATTTGACTAAGGAAATAAAGAGTGTATAGCATAATTTTTCAGATGTGCTGTTGCTAGAGAGGTCCTGGAGGAAGTTTGAGCTGGTATTCTATGGAAAGGTCCAATAACTTTCAACTGCTGTGATGATCTAATCTGAACCATAGATGAGGGCAAGGTTTTAACTTCACCTAGTATCTCTCAGAGTTGATGACTTTTGATTTCTTTTGCTTTTTGTCCCAAAGTTTTTTGTCCATATGATCTTAGACTTTCATAAGAAACAGTATTTCTTCTTGTCATGATGCCAGTCTCTGAATCCATCTGCCTCTTCCTTCTGTGTTGTTGGTGTTACTTAAAGCAAATTGTTATTATGGGTTGTTCTTATGTTTTTGTGTACTAACACTTTTCTAATGGTATGGCGTTTAGAAAACATTCATGAATTGCTGCTGCAATGTGTGCACTGAGCCAAAAGAAAGTGTGCATGTTTTCCAGAATTACTGCATAAAATATTTGTTGTTCTGTTTTTAAAGATACTATTTGGACCTTGGTAAAAATCTGAATGTTCTGGCACTGTTTGTTTTGTGATTGATTACTCAATATGCTGCTACAGTTAGACCAAAGAAATTAAAGTTTTCTCCCTATCCTACAAATATAAACATCTTAAATTACAATGATTTGCTTTTAAATTATGCTTTTACTTAAGCTGTATATTATACTTGGAAACTAGACTACATGAACTTCAGAAAAAATGAAGCCCAAGTTCCAATGGATTTTTTTTCATAGTTGATTTAGCTTTGGTTCCAGGAGTATGATTCGAGGTTATAGTTGTTGCCAAAAGGTTTCCCTTCCACCAGTGTCTGTTCCTACTCCGTCTTTATTAAATTTACATTTCTCTGGACCTTGGGCAGCTGAATCAGTAGGAAGTCTTCAGTTGTTGGTTTGAGTTTTGGGGGGGGGGAATGTTTTGGGTTGGTTTGGTGGAGAAAGGGAGTATTTATGGTATTTTAGCTCCCCAACATGGTTTGATCAGGGATCAAACATTAGCACTGACATGGAGAAGGGAGCACAGAGAACATATATTGCAGAGGGTGAACTGGACATGGTAGTCCCATCAGGTCATCATCTCCTCGGAGGTGACTATAGAGACAGCCAAGGGAAACTAACCTTTGTGGACCAGCCTTGGGACTGCTAGCTTCACCTTGGTAAAGATAATGTATTAATGTAGAAGAAATGTAGTGCAGGTAATAAAACAGGATTTTATGGCATTGTGTGGGAGTACACTTATGAAACAGGGGGAGGCCGTGTAGTAACGTAGTCCATAAAATATGAAAGTTTAGTGGAGCATACATAGGAGATTCTGCTGTCAGGAACATTACCAAATAAAGTGAAAATAAGCTTGATAAGAATTGCCTGTTAGTGCTCAGTTCGTTCTGGTGACACTGTGACTAGTTTAAATTCCACAGAAAGGTGTTTGCCTGCATCTCATTCTTTATCAAAACATGTTAGCAAGTAAAAACCTTTTGCAGTGATGTCACTAAGAAGTGTGAGACTTCTGCTCTCTGCCACAAAAATGCTTTTGCTTCATTTGTATCCATTCTAGTGGCTATGACACCCACAAGATCTACAGCTGATTGCAGACTACCAGGGTGGAGTGAGGGAGTCTGTTTCAGTTGCAACGGTGATGTCTTGTCTACAAGCGCTAGTGCTGAGACTGTTGGGGTCAGGAGTACGTGGTCCCAGAAAAGTGAAAGCAAGTTACAGTGTGACTTTGATGCAGCGTAAGCCAACCCAAGTCTCAACTGCTGTGTTCCTGCCCCAGAACCACTGTTGATAATTGTGAGACCATACGGCAAGCCAGTTCAAGGAGCTGGTTTGGTCAGAAAAGATCACTTCCCAGGTTAATCTTCATCATTACCAGCTTCCTGAAATAACTCACAATTGCCACTGCCTGAGTGCTAATGCTAGGGGTGGGAAGAAGATGGAGGAGCTGGGAATGAGCAGTGAAGGCTGAACTGCAGCCCTCTAGCTTTAAAGCTGCATCCTCGATATTTCTGCTGAATTCCCTGGCAAATTCAGATAAGGATTTTTACTAGATCAAAAGGAGTCTTTTAGCTTTAGGCACTGGGATATTTTTTTTCCATTAAATAGGAAACGCAAGCATTTATATATACTGTTTCTATGGACATAACAAGCAATAAATAACTCCTTTGTGCTTAATATTGAAAGGAAATCTTGCTTTTTCTCTGCAAAAATCTCTGAAAAGGCCACACAGCCCCAAGCAATATAGCATTTGCATGTAGTTTATACATGGGAGAGTTTTGTTAGAAGAATCAAGATGGAAGCCAATAAAGAGAATTTAATTATGATATATTCCCAAATTAAATCCCTTTCCATCCTTAAGCTATTTAAACATCTCTGTGTTGCTTTTCCTAGTAAAAAAGCATATCTGTTCCAGTATTCCATGGGGAAGAACTGCTATGGATAGCCATCTCTACTAAAATTTGTTCTTATGTGGATTTTTATCTTCTCTTTAGCTGTAGTTATGCTATGGATACCAAATAATTCAAAGGAAATAAATAGCATCCTGGCTGTTGGATTGCTGGTTAAGGTCACTTAGCCTTTTGTATCTTTTTCAGTGCCAAAGATGTGGGAGACCAGATCCAATGGTAGTTTCTTTTCCCTGTGACATGAGAGACTGTTTGAACTTTAGGAAAGTGCAAGAACAAGAATATTCAATGTAATAGGATTGCCGTTCAAAGGGCAATTGCCAAATCACAGGAAGTGAATAAGGAATGGATCTCTACTTGGGAAATATACAACTTGCTAATGCTGGTGCCTCACAGTTGAGAGAACACTTTTTTTTTTTTCTTCTGTGCTAGACACAGATGATTTGCAACTGGTGCTGGTGTTTGTCTCTGCTATGGAATAATAAAGGGAGGCAGAATTAACTGCTGCCAGTTAAATTAGTTTGTTTATGGTCATTTTTAAAGGCCTGGATAACCAGTTATCAGACAAATTTTTATTTCTAAATATGTAACCTGCAAAGGATTACTCCGTAAAAATGCTGTTTATATCAGACGATATCTAATATGCTGTAATCCTCCTGGTATGTTGCTGGTTCCACCAAAAGGCAGGGATTGAAAACCATCTTTAAAAAGGAGGTTTCCAAACAATTAAATGCAGTTGATAATAACTAACTAAAAATACCTCTTGTCCATAATACTTATTCCAGGATTACTTTTGTTTTCTCAAAACTAGTAATCTCACTTACAGGGAAGGTATCTACTTTTCCCTTCTTTGACTGTGTTGGAAAATAACTGTGGCAGAAGTAGGGAGAGGGAGCTGGGCTCTCTGCACGTCTTCCCGTCCCCTGTTACAGCAGGGGTCCACTTGCCCACCTGCTTACCGTAGAGGTACAGGTCCGTTCATGGCATGCTTTTGGTGTGATTGTGTGGCATCACTGTCCTTCCCCTGGGCTAGGTGGACGTTGCTGACCTACCGGTCACCACAATGTTGTGCAGATCTGCTGTAGTTTACTGATAAAAAACAGAAAGTGGAATCCACGCTTCAAATTAGTTTCCAGAAAAAAGATTTATTAGCTAAAGCAAGTTGCGCAAAGGAAGGTAATGAAATACAAATCATATGAAGACATACATGTCTTTCAATTCTTAACTGATTATCTCAGTACAGGGTGACATGCAGTTCTCTTTCCCAGAGGTTACTCATAGATCATCTTGTGAGGGTATTTCTTCAGAATTCATCAAGAACTGCTCCTGTGAATTTCTAGTGTATTAATTCCTTTCTGCACTAATACAGTTTCTTAAATGTTTAAAGGCGGCCAGTAAAAATGATCTATGATCAATATTTAGTACATTGTCAGTCCTGCTGATTTAGAAATTGTTTTTATTTCACTTAAGCTATTTTTAATTCCTCTTTATTAAGGATGGTTTTCTTGTGAATTTGTGTTCCTAAGTGATATGTGGAGAGAACCTTATGCAACTGGGCTAGTATCATATACAGTTACCTAGTCAAGTTGATCTAATCTTAACACTGTCATAGCCTATGTGCTATAAATAAGCTGTTTGTTTTTACATACTAATTGCTTCCTGATGGACCTTGACTTTGCTTTTTTGTAAAATTTATCCTTTCTTCATGGATGTCTGTTGCAGACCCAAAAGGTGATTTATTTTTTTTTTAGCCCCATGCATTGTGCTAACTTCTTTTTAAGATTATATAAAGCTGAATCAATTAAACA